CGCCGCCCCCACCGCATGACCTCTTCTACTCCTTTCCTCCAACACCTTCCAGTTCGGCCTCTCTTACCCCTAGGTAGGGTGACATAGCGACTTCCCCTTCCCTCCTTCCGCTGCCCTCCGGGAAAGGATTCAACCCCTTCCTCAGCCTTGAACCGCTTCTGGCGTCCAGGAAGTTAGAGTAGCCACCCTCCCGGCCTTTCCCCAAGCCCAGGCAAAAGGTGCAGCGACTCCTCTCACCCCATGGGCTCTCCCCACTTATCCAGAGATCCTTTCTCTGGCCTCACTTGTTTCCTTCCCCGCCCCCACCGCCCCTCTCCCCACCCCCACAGACTCCCCTGCGCCCAGGAAGATGTTCTTTCGAACCCTGTTTTCCACTCCTAGGAAGGCCCTACTGCCGGGAGCCTGTCCTCTTGGGTTCGTTCCCTCCAAGTCCTTGTGTTGACCGGTTCTGCCTTGTGGGGTCACCCCCTGCCTGTCCGCGGAGCCCTTATTGCAGCTGGATCAGTCCCCTGAGAACACCATGTCCCTGTCCCCAAGGCCCTTACTTTGACCAACACACTTATCGCTGTTACTGTGGTGGATACCCTTCAGCCCCAGTGACCAACCCGGTGACCTCCCCTCCCCTCACTCATGTGCCTTTGGAAACTGGCCCCATGATTTCACCTCCTCTTACTCATAGGTCCCTGGGAACTGGCTGCATAATTTCACCTCCTCATGCTCACTGGCCCGTGGAAACTAGACCTATAATTTCCCCACCCCTTTCTCGTAGGGTTTTGGAAACTGGGCCCATGACCTCCACTCTGCTCTCTTCCTGGTCTTCAGGGAGAAGTTATAATGATCCTCCTCTTTCCCCAACATCTTCCCCACACACTGGCAGCTTTTACCATGGCCTCGTTAAGCATCCAGATGCTTGTGAACCTAAACCACAGCTTGACCCCCCTCCTGGGAAAAATTACTGTGGCTCTCCACTTTCTTCTCAGGCAGGCACATCTTGTTGTCCCAGCTCACCTCAGGAGGGCTCTTATCACTATTCCCATCTTCCCCCAGATGCCCGCATACCTGCTGCTGGGAGCCCTTACTGTGCCATCCGCCTACCCTCTGGGAGTACTGGCTCTCCTTGCTCGCCCCAGTCCCAGGTTTCCAGGAAGCCTTGCGTTGAGTCCATTTACTCTTCGGAGACTGGTGGGAGCTCTTATGTCTGCATAACTTCAGGCACTACAATTTCTGGTCCACCCTGTCCCCAGGAACCACCTCTTCCTCTGTCCTCCCACTGTCCTTGTTCTGCCTTCCTTCCTTCACCTCCAGGCAACCAGTTTATGTCTCCACCCCAGGCACCCCACTGCAGAAGCTATAAGGAACCCCCTCCCCCTATCCCAGTTTGCCCCCAAGCTAAGTCTCCCAAATCCTCAGAGTTAAAACAGCCGTGTGCTCCTCACAGATGTCACTCCCTGGTCACCCAGCACACTCCTCCTGACCGGCCCATGTCCCCTAAGGCCAGCACCTCTCCACCTCCCTCCTGCCCTTCTGGTCTCTCCGGTCCTTCTTGTATGGTGACATCCATCACAACTTGCTCAAATTCCTGCCCCAAAGAACTTCCCCAAGGGACTACCACACCTACTGTGGTCCCTAGAACCCTCAAAACAGTTATCCCCACTTCCCTTCCCCTTCGCCTTCCTTGTGATCCTGTCTTACCCAATAGTTATGCTCAGACCAGCCCCCGAGGACCCCCCATTGGACCCCCCTGCAGTAACCATGTGTATTCTGTGGTTTCCCCCACCCGCCACGATCCCTGCCTACTCTCTGGTTCCCTCAATCAATCTACAGGTCCCCTTCAGTGTCATAACCGGCCCGTGGTGCCCCCCTGTGGCACCTATAGCACTCCCAGGGGCCCACCCCAACCTCATCGCCAGCCTGTGGTTCCTCCTTGTTCTACGCATATCTATTCTTTTATCCCTTTGAGAACACCCTTTGACCCCCCAAATTTACCGATTGCCCCCCGAGCCTGGGGCCATCTTGATACTATGCCCTGTGGCCTCCATGTCTACTCTGTGGTTTCTCGAGACTGCCGCAAGGAGTCTCCCCAGATCCCCTACAGCTGTCCTTTGTCTTCATCCAAGAATTCCAGCTGTAGCACTAATGCCAACTGTAGTTCGACTGTTGTTATTAGTGAATGCCAGAGTAGTGACAGCCAGAGCAAGAACACCCTCCAAAGCACAAGTTGGAGCCAGAGTGAGAGTACCCATAGCCCTAGCACAAACTGGAGTCAAAGAAAGAGTTTCCATCTTAGTAGAAGTCTGAATGGGAGCCATAGTACCCATCAAAGCATAAATCAGGAACAGAGTGGGAGTCCTCAACTTTTTGAAAGTCAGGGCCAGAGCGAAAGTACCCAACATGGCAGAAGTCAGGGCCCGATCAAGAGTGCCCTCCGTAACAGAAGTCGGAGCCGAAGCCAGAGTCCTTGCCGTGGCAAAAGTTGTGGCCAGAGCAAGAGTCCCCACTGTAGCAAAAGTCAAGGTCGGAGCAAGAGTCCCCACCATAACAAGAAATGAGGGCAGAGAAAGAGTTCTGACCAAAAATCCAAAAATCCAGGCTAAAGCAAAATTCATAGACAGTAACAGGGCTGCCAGCCATAGCAAGCATCCCAGCTGTGGCAACCAGGACCAACTTGTGGACTCCTCAGCTGAGCCCTTTTTTCCCTTTCAGTCTACTTCTGTGCTCTTCAAGCCTGACTCATGCCCCTCTCTGCTACCCTCATAGCAGTCATCCTGTAAGTCCCCAGTTTTGTTCACACCTCAGGGTTTCTGTGAGCTCTCCTCATCCCACTTTCCTGGAGACTGGGGACTTTCCCAAAATGACCCTCAGCCCTGCGATTCTGAGCATTGTGGTGTCAGTCACTGCATGACCTTAGGTAAGTTACCCTCATCTCTCCATCAAATGTAGAAGGTTGATATTTTTTGTATCCCACTGCACTATCTCTTGTGGTGCTCACCTAAACTAGGAGACATGAAAGTGCTTTAGAAAATGGAAGGACTGTTCAGAAAGAAAACATCTTCTATTTTTAAGCTTGATGCTTCACCCAGGGTCTACATAGTTTCTACCAGCCTGCTGTAGACTCTTCTCAAGAGTCCTCTCCAAGGCCTCAAAGGAGTATCCTCTTTATCGGTGACCCCACATGCTATTGTGAGAGCTATAGCTTACTTTCACAACGCTGAGATAGAAAGGCTGGTTCCCCACTGCTTGTCTCTCACACACTTCTTTGGCAGGCAGAGGCAGGATGCAAAGACAGGGTGCAAAGACAGGAGTGGGCACTAGCTGGATCCACGTTTGCCCCAGCGCTCTGAGGTACTGGTGGGGTCAGGCAGTAAGGGGATAGAGGCAAGACTGGAAGACCAATAGGCCTGTTCTCATTCTTTTAGGCTGCCACAGAGCCCAAATTTCCTGCCACTCGACTGGCTCTGCAGAATTTTGACATGACCTACAGTGTGCAATTTGGGGATCTTTGGCCATCGATCCGGGTCAGTCTCCTCTCAGAGCAGAAGTATGGTGCACTGGTCAATAACTTTGCTGCCTGGGATCGTGTGAGTGCTGAGCTGGAGCAGCTGAGTGCAAGGGACTTCGTGAATGAAGCTATCTTCCACGGGGAACCAGAACCTGAGAATGGCCAAACTGCAGCTCCACCCACTTCCTCCTGGGCCTGCAGTCCAAACCTTCGATGCTTCACTTTCGCCAGAGGGGATGTCAGCCGTTTCCCTCCTGCCAGGTAGGATCTGGAGCTGTGGCTAGGGCTGTTCTGAGTGTCTGCTGGAAGTAGACAGGAAGAGACACAGCTCCTGTCCTGTTTAATAGGGATCTTAATATTGCTAATATTTACTGAGTATTTATACATGCTGGGCATTATCTCCTTTTGTTCTGTCAACAGCCCTCTGAGGTGGGTAATATTATTGTTTTTCTTTTACATTTGAGGAAACTGAGGAGCAGAGAAGTTAAGGTACTTACTTGCTTTAGGTCCCTTAGATAGTAAGTGGTGAAGCTAGTAAGTGGTGAAGCTAGTATTTAGACCTAGGCAGCCTGACCTCAGAACCTGCACTTTGAACCTGCTTAAGTGCCCCACTTCTACCGCCTAAGTAAGAAAAAAAAACAAAAAACAAAAAACCTTTTTACATTAGCACCCTCTCCAGTTAAAATGTGTGTTATTTACAACTGCTTTCTCACTTGCCCCCATCAAAGTAACCTCAGGATACCAAATAAGAGGTGGGACTTGCCTAGGAAATAGGGCTTTGCTTAGGGACACAAAGTTAGTACCAGACCAGACTGGGGTAAAAAAAAAGGAGACCTTCCAGTCATCTTATCCAATGCTCAGATGCATATGAAGTTGAATGAAAAAAGGCTCTGTAATAAAATGCTAAATTGAGAAAAGGAGAGCTCAGTGTTAGCTGTAGGATGTGGGAATTGATCTTTGAAGGACTGATTCATTCATTCAACAAATATTTATTGTCTACCAAATGCTAGGCACGCTTAAGTGCACAAGTCCTCATGGAGCTTTCAGCCTAGTGAGGGAGATAACTGTTAAAAAAACTATTTATGGTTGTGACAAGTGCTACAGAAAAAAAGTACAAGATGCTATGAAGTCTTATAGTTAGGAGATCTAATGCTGAGGAAGTGAAATTTAAGCTAAGACCTGAAAGCTGAGTAGGAATTAAAGCTGGTGGCGTGGGAGGGGGGATGGGAGAGTGATGTGAGGCTACAGAAGAGGGCTAGAGCCAGATTTTGAAGGTTTTACAGGCCTTATGGGATCATGGACTTTTTCTCTAAAAGGAAGAGGGAGCCATGGAAGGTTGGTTTGTTTGTTTTGTTGGTGGTGGTTTCTTGTTTGTTTTTGGCCACACCGTGTGGCATGCAGGATCTTAGTTTCCTGACCAGGGTTCGAATCTGTGCTCCCTGCAGTGGAAGCTCAGAGTCTTAATCACTGGGCATCCAGGGAAGCCCCAGCCATGAAAGGTTTTAAGCTGGGGAATAACATGATCAGATCTGAATTTTTAAAATATCAATTCTGGCTGCTGTGTGGAAAGTAGATTGGAGAGGGGCAAGGCTAGAAATGGAGTTGTAAATTAGGAGGCTTTTGCAATTGTCCTAGCTGCTGGTTTGAGGGAAGACTGTATGCTTAAGAGAAGTAAGAAATGAGGTTGGAAAAGTACATGGGGGCCATGTGTGGGAATCTTGAATGTCACGAGCTTGCAGGTTGGGGGAAGGGGATTTTCCTGGTGGTCCAGGGTTGCTTATAAATGGCTGGAATTACTAGGGCCGGGCAGCTTCAGACATGTGCCTTTTAATTCATATTGCTGTAATTGCAGTACGTTCATCTGTTCTAGAGAACCACTGAAGAGGGTTTCTGAGTAGAGGAAAGGTAATAATGTACAGTGGTTAAGAAAACCTAGGTTTGGATCCTGTCTTCACCACTTATTAGACATGTGCCGTTGGATAACTGAGCCTTGGTTTCCTGATAAGGAAAATAATCTGGAAAGTAATGGTAGTAATAGCTGACAGTATAGCTCACTATGTGCCAGCTACTGTTGTAAGTACTTGTCTTCTATTACTTCCTTTAATTCTTACACTAATCCTATCTGATAGGTACTCTTATTACAGATGAGGAAACTGAGGCACAGGGAAATTGAGTAATTTGCAGAAGGTCACACAACTGATGAGCAACTGGGCTGGATTTGAGATCCAGGCAGTCAGGCTCTAGAATCTGGGTTCTCCTGCCTCACAGGGTTGTGGTGAGGATTAAAAGAAATGATGCATATTAAACACCTAGTATAGTACCTGCAATATCGATGTTATTCCCATCAAGGTTGTGCTTCAGGAAGATCATTTTAGTCACTGTGAGGAGGGCATAGATGGGAGCAGGATTAGAGACCAATTTGGAGGCACTGGCTTTAGGCAGATCCATGGAGTAAGACCCATGTGGTTTCCTGAGTTGCCTGAGGACATCCGGAGAGTAGTGGGGGAAGCAGCCCTCTATGTTTGAATTTTTTTCCTTCTTGTCTTGATGGGCTCCCTGTAAATCAAGGGGATCTTAATCTCTTGGGAGTTCAAGGATGTATCTAGGGAGTCCAGGAACCTCCTGAAATTGAGAAATTGTTGTGCTGCTTTTTTTTTTTAAGTTAATTTATTTATTTATTTTTTAATTTATTTTTTTAAGTTTATTTATTTATTTTTTATTTATTTATTTTTGGCTGTGTTGGGTCTTTGTTGCTGCACGCAAGCTTTCTCTAGTTGCGGCGAGCAGGGGCTACTCTTCTTTGTGGTGTGCAGGCTTATTGCGGTGGCTTCTCTTGTCGCGGAGCACAGGCTCTAGGCGCGCAGGCTTCAGTAGTTGTGGTGTGCAGGCTCAGTAGTTGCGGCACAAAGTGTGATTTGACTTTGAAAATATCCTATCATGGCCTGAGCCCAGAGGTGAACGCCAGAGGTGTTATGACCTCGAGACTGGGGATTGTAGGTCTTGTAGCTGATTCTCAGTGGTGCTCTGTCTTATATCTTGTCACATCTTTCTTCCAGAGCCTTCCTGTCAGGTCAGCAAGGACCAAGTTTCTGCCTCCTTGAGGCTGTCGCCAGCTGAACCGTGTCTCAGGCTGAATGGCTGCACCACAGTTGCCCTTATGACAAGTGGGTTGGGAGTGAGAAGGCCTTCTGTGACAACAACCTGTCTGTTGTCCCTCTCTCTCTACCCACATGGGTGCTGCCTCTCTCCATGCCTTATTAGCTCTCATTTGGACTCTTGTAACAGCTTTCCCACTGGTGTCTCTGTTTCTAATTTGTTCTTTGTAGCCCACCTAGCTTTCTAAAACTCTAACTAGCCAATCATGTCATTTTCTTTTTTTTTTTTGTGGTACGCCGGCCTCTCACTGTTGTGGCCTCTCCCGTTGCGGAGCACAGGCTCCGGATGCGCAGGCTCAGCGGCCATGGCTCACGGGCCCAGCCACTCTGCGGCATGTGGGATCTTCCCGGACTGGGGCATGAACCCATGTCCCCTGCATCGGCAGGCGGACTCTCAACCACTGTGCCACCAGGGAAGCCCCCATGTCATTTTCTTTAAAAACTTTTGGTAACTGCCTACAGGTTATAGTCCAAACTCCTTAGCATAGGGTTTAAGACCTTTTACAACCTTGGCCTCTATCTGTTTTCCAACTTCAATCTCATGTACCTTGTATTTCTAACACACTAGATTTCTCACTGTGTCTGAAAGAAGTTATGAATTTGCATGCATCTGTGCCTTTGCTTTTTCTTTTTTCTTCTGCTTGGAATGCTCCTCTTACCTTTTTTTTTTTTACCGAATGAAGGCCCATTCCTTCATCAGATCTAACTCAGGTAACTC